TATTAACGTTACATTACAATCTGCATTTTTTCATACCGAATAAAATTATCGATTTATTTGTTCCAAAACATATTATACTGAATTAAAAATACCCTCTTTGGTTTAGTTTGGATACAAAAGATTTTATTTTCAGAAAGAAAATTCCTCATGAGATCTTTAAATCTACTGGTTCACCTAATGAATATAATACATTCTTAAACTGATGATATCGATGCAAATCAATTTCTAAATTAAATTACCGAAATCACCTAAATAATATTCAAATGGAAATAAAATATTAACCCACCAAATTTTACAAATTTCTTAATGATGAACGAAAAAAAAAAAAACTTTCTACCGGATTGCATGTATTTAATTGATAATAATTTTAACTTCCCCTCCGCTATTGTCGATGCCTTTGCTCAACATTTTGCTACCGTTTATGAAAATTATGATAACAATGATATAAAGTTTAACTCAATTGAGTTTTTTTTTTCCGTTTATAGTTTGTTTTATAACATATTGTGTTAATATTTGGTTGGTTAATTTTTATTTATGTACCATCCACGGAAACGGTTCGAATTCTATAATGTTGAATTTATCGATATGACCGGGATAACGAATAATTGGCAAAAAGAAATACCTCTATAGGTCAATGTATATTATTTTTAATTTGTATGGTTTATTTGATTCGTGAACAAATATAGATAAAAAAAAAAAAAATTAAAACTTTATGTAGGTAGCGCAATTTCGATACACGTAAATACAATATTGTAATAAAATCATTGATGTTTAGAAAATAATAACGCAAATAGTTACCAGCAAAACCTGAAAAATGTCCTGTTATCGCTTCCGTTAAAATATTCATATTATTTTTGTGTACCAATAATTGATGTTTCTACCAAATGAGTTTGGGAACTTAACTTGTATAAAGTAAACCGTATAATACAAATTCGTGAATTTAATTGTTTTTTCTTTTCAAAGACCCTGCGTCTTTTCCGTACACGGAAACTGGAAAGTCTTTAAAACAGCAAACATATCGAATTATTTGCTCGCTGTCATAGTCAAATACAACCCTCTAGAATGAATATTTTCGACCTCTCTTTTACTTATTATAAATTTCATGACATCACGTCGATGGTTGTACGCACTAACACGCTATTTCACGTTTTACTCATTAAAATAAAAACCTGTGATGTACCCACTCGAATAATTCGAACATACCCACAAATTATCTTGAATTACCCGCCCCCCTTGTAATTATTGTTTAAAATCGATTTAGGTAACTTATTATTATTATTGGATTTATATAGGAAAGAAAATCTGCGTGTCTAATCTAATCCAACTTAACTTATTATTAGTACATTTGTACAATTCCGTGTTTTATAAATAATATTAATCATTTTTTTTTTTTACACTTTACATTACCAATGTCTTCTTCAGTGATTTAAAGTAGAATTACGAGATCATGGAAACTGACAAATATGCATGAGTAAAATGATTTTTTTTTTTTGTGAAAAACCCACTAACCTACAGTAAGATATACACACATTTCAAAATGATCTGTAAAGATTGAAAACGAAAAACACAGAAATTAAATTCACTTAAACATTAACGAATCATGGATGATTCACTCTGTATAACTTTTGGTTTTATTGCGCACTTTAGTTTTATATTATTTTTTTCGAATTATTTTACCTAGGTACCTTATCTATTTTACATCGAGATCATTATAATATATGTATGACGCAAACACGAACAATTTATTATACGAGTTTAAAAAGGCGAAAAAAAAAAATCGCAAAACAAATTACACGATTAATCTAATGAGCATGTGATCGTGAAAATGTAAATATAATTTTATTAAATCACAAACAAGTAAAATCAATGACCATCGACTTTAGATCAAAAATTATTATTGATCACGTTAATGGTGATCGGTAATAATTATTGATAATATATTATTCCATTTTTATTCCGTTTCCACTAAATTGTTTGTAACGGTTTTACCGAACAGTTTTCTGTACTACGAGGCATGTCGCATATATTATATTATTACGAAGCTTATTTCATCAGCTCAAAAGCATAAAATCTATCGCGGCCCGCCGAGTTTTGCTCGATAAGTCGTCCGTTCAATCCGGACCTGCGTCTTTTCCCGCATTGTCCCGTCGACGTTTGTCGTCGTGTCGGTTTTTTATTCAGGATACCTTGTTTGATTTTAGATTCTGAGCGAAGCGAAGTATGTATTGGATTTAAAGTGATGTTTATTTTTCGTTTTTTTACTGTGTACAAAAATTCTACCAGAAATCTTGCTGTGATTTTCGTGTAGCACCTTTTCTGATGTGATTTTTTGATTTTCCCAAGGGTTTTCATAATAGATGGGAAAAATAGGAAAATTTACGAAAAAAATGCTTTTTTGCCATATTTTTTTCAATTTTGTTTTTTCGTTGTAATTCAGTTCAAAATGTTAGTAGGAACCTGAAATTTGAAAAGAAATTTTATATTTGCACTTTAAGCTATTTATAGACGTTTTAATTTTACGAGTTTTTTACGTAGTATTTATTCAGTAGGTACTCTGTAGTTAAATATGCTAGTCCGAAGTTGTAATTAGTGGTCAACAAGAAAGATTGAGTTTAATGGAGTATTTTTTGTTTAATAAGAATCTAAATATCAAATTTTGACGAAAATTTTAAACATTACGTCCTTTTAAAATATGTATAACTGACACTGCTCAGAATCGTTATTCGTTTGCAATGATTAATCGTTGCATACAAAAATACATTAAATTTCCCTCAGTATCCTATGCCTTTACAACTTCTCATCTACAACAGTGGCCCACCCATCGTGAGAAGTATCTCCGTCTTTATTATATTTACTTATATCTCAGCGGTTACCCATACTTATCATTTTGTATTTGTATTTTTTTTTTTAAATCACCTTGAACCGGTCTTTCTACGGATATGCCAAGACGTATATAATTTTAACGATTGTGATTATTTTTTTTACCGGCCATTATTATTATTATTATTCTTTTTTTTTTTTTGCAAATAGAAAACGAGGAATTATATAAATAAATAAATAACATTTTTATACGGACAATAAAATATGTATGCGTCTAATGAATCACGTCATTATTCAAGATTATAACATTAAGTTATACACAGGTAAAAAATGCGTGTATAGGTCAATGTCCATGCGATTGTATGAAGTTTGGTTTTTTTATTTTAATTTATCATATAAGAATGCAACACATATACATTTCGTCGGCATAGAATTAGAAAAACTTATCAACTAAAAACTTTTTTTTTTTTAAACGTATATTAATATGTTTTTTATCAGGCATTATTTTTTTAGTAACCAATTTAATATAAATTTAAATGAAACATTTTTTAATCCTCTTGAAAAAATTGCATTTAGTCGATATGTTTCTTTATTTCAATAAACCGACGATTTCAAGTATGCATCTAAATAGGTTAATGTAGCATTGGCTTTTTTATGAAGGGAGATTAAGGAAATATATCACCTTCCTCACGATAATATTTTTTAATATTTATATATTATTGTTATTATTATTATATGACTACTTATTTTAGATTCTTAGTGTAGCGACGAATGTATTGGTTTTACAAAGATGTTTATTTCTTATTTTTTTATACTGGTGTACAAATTCTACCCGAAAGCTTACTCCGATGTATACGATACAAGCCCTTATCTCAAAAGAAAATTTCTTGATACTTTAAGGAGGTCATTTTTTGATCTTCTCAGGAATTTTCTCATTAAATGTGAAAAACCGAAAAAAAAGAAGGAAAAACGGGAAAATTTGCAAAATATATTAATAAAATATTACGGTTTTTTTTTTCTATGGACAACTTGTCTACCAGAAATTTTGTTTCAATTTACAATCATAGAACTTTTTCTGAGAAGAAATATGACTGGAAAGGTACTTATGGGAGGTAATATTTCGATTTTTTTTTTTATATGAACACTTTTTCTATTAAAATGCTTATTAGAGCATATAGATGCTATAGAGTCTTTTCTGAAAAGAAATTGTCTTGGGAAGGTACTTAAAGCAGATCATTTTTCGATTTTTCAGGAGTTTTCTCATCAAATGTGAAAAACCGAAAGAAAACCGGAAAATGTACGAAATATTATATTACTAAAATATTATGTTTTTCTGATAGGAAATCTGGCTGGGTGGTAAGGTACTTTAGAGAGGTCATTTTCTCAACAAATGTGTAACCAGAAAAAATATGGGAAAACCGAAAACAACGGGAAAAACGGATCAATATCAAACAAATATTATTAAAGAAAATGTATAGTGCCTATTTAATTATTTTACCATGATATGACATATATATTATTAATAAAGCATGACTATCAACTTAACTTCGTTCAGAATCGTATTTTCGTTAACAATGGTTTATCGTTGCTTACAGGTATACATTAAATGCCCTTCTGTATCCTATTTTCACAACGTATTTCCACCTACAACCGTGGCTGCACCCATATGCGAAGCATGTCCCTCTTTTTTTAAAATTATTTTTTGGTTTACACGTTGGTTAACCATTCTACATTTTATAGTTTGAAACTATACCTTTATCCACAATAAACACTATACATACTATGAAGCCGATTAGACTAGTGGGTACTGAATTTAATTAATTTATAATAATTACTACTTACCTAGGTATACCTATAGTTATTTGATTTCTATGGAAATTTTACGGTAGGTTGAATTATAAATTGCATACATTTTATAAATATTAATAATTCATCCGGCTTCAAGATGCATAATACGACACAATTTTAAAATTCAATATCTTCCTCCTTTAAAACATTCTACGTAATACTCTGTTGGAAAATGTTATCTAGTTGGGACATCGATAAGGTCGTTGTATAAGATCCCAAGTAGTTTTCTAAATAATCGGAAAAAATCGAAATAAAACGTAAAAAAAACCTGTAAAAATAACGGTTTCTCTTGTTTTCGATTAAATTTTTCTATTACAATCGGTTAGGTTAGGTTAAATTGTATAGAGATAATCGTAAAAACGTAACATTTTCACAAAATACTTACCTATATAAACACTTTCTGGACGTGGAAAAACTTTCTGGCAATTTTTGAGCTACCTACATACATCTACTCATTCAGTGCTGCAATTAGCTGTTTATTTATTGGGGAGGGGTGTCGGTCTTGAGCCCTACTATAATCTTAATTAAATGTGATTGACAGAGCTCTGGTTGCTTCCTCACTTAGAAGGCCTTAGACGACCCAAAGGTCTTAGTCCCTTAGACCTCCACTAATTGCGCTACTGTAGCTACTAAAAATGTCGTGTTTTTTAGTTAGTTTTTATTTGATTAAGTAGAATTGTTTCGGTCCAGTAACTACGCTCGGAAATTCAACACAAAGGATTTTATAACCAAATTCCACTAGGAATTGTTTTTCGTTATAATAGTGATTTATTGTCAAAAAAAGATATAAATTATACTGTTCTATGTATCTTACCATACCAAATTCTTACCTATACAACTGTGGCACACCCTTCGGTAGTACAAGCTCTTTCTTCTATTCGGATTGAATAGCGAAGTAATTTTTTTTGTAGAGTATTAGCCAAATGGATTTGGCTAATTGACATTTAAAAAAGAAAAAAATACATTGGTACAATACGATTTCGAACTATTCGATTAAGATTCCGTATAGGATTCGTCATCTGCCGGGCGAGACGGTGACGTTACGTGCAATCGATAAGACAATCGATTTTCATCCGCTGCGCAACAATACACGATCCTTGAAACGAACATAATAGACGAGAGCGTTATTGAGCTAATCAACGGACGCCCGGATAATTAGGCGAACCGGAAGCGTATTCTGTTGTAACTACGATCTGTCGGTATGGGAGTTTTGCAGCAAAAAACGATGACAAAAAAAAAAAAATATATATATATATATAATAATAATAAATCAACAACGTTCATGTAGAAAAATATTTTAATCTTATTACTCATAAAAAAAAAAAAAAAACAAAAGAAACAATACAAATAAATAAATAAATAGATAATCCATTATCGGAGGTTTTCGAGATGATTTTAAATAAATTATTATAAATAAAATTAAATAGATAAGGGCCGGCGAAAAAAAATATAAATTGTTGAGAATATTATGTACTTAGATATAAATTTGACGCGATTATTAATTTGGATCGTCAAAGTTGGGCTTGCAGTTTCTGTCGGGGCCCATACGCATACCTTCGGGACACGGTCTCACCGGTGCAATTATGATAGTTCGGTCCTGCGTGGTGGTCTCCAGCTTCGGGTTTTCCTGGACCACCGTTACGGCGACGGGCTTTTTCTCGTTCTTGTTGTCGCCGTCTGGCCTTGTCGATTCGGCCGTTTTGGACGGCGACGACGGTGTCTTGCCCGAAGGATTTGAAACGGCGGCGACGACGACGGTGGCTTGCGTCGTTTTTGTCGTCGGTCGCAGCGCTTTGCCCGCGTACACGTAATTGCTCTGGTACGGGTAAAAATAGTTATTGAAGTTGACGCGCAGAGGACGACCGGTGTCGTAGCGATCGCGTTGGAGTCGCGCTTCGGGCGACGGAATCGGGTGCCGGGTGACGGAGCCGGTGCTGTAGTACGGCGCCGGCCTCGACATTACGAACGCGGACACGCGGCCCGAAATGATTCCGCCGCTGACCGGAGTCGCGGACAGCGCCGCGGCTGCGACGATCATCGCGGCCACCGCGCTGCCGGTCGAACGCCGACGGCCGGCGGAACGACGCGATTCCATGGGTGTCGTCCAGCGATTGCTCGCACGCGGTTTGCGCGGTCCGGATCTCGGCAAGGCGGGTTAGTCGAACGGCGCCCGGGTGTACTGCGGCGAACGGTCGAACGTTGCACTGGAAGCCCGCGCGGACGTCCGTTCGGGTTTTATGGGTGGGCACGCGAGACCGGTTGGAACGAGACTGCGGCGGTGGCGGCGGCGGCGAACCGGAACCCGCGAGCCGCGGGCAGAGAACGGCCCGCGGACCTTTGTCTCTCCGTGCGAATCGCGTTTCGCTAAACATCGTGCGGCGCGTACTCCTTCCCCGGTCCGGCGACAGACGTGCCCGACGGTAAAAATAAAATTAAAAAAAAAAAAAAAAAAACAATAACAATGTTTTACGGTCGCTCGCGTCTAATCGAACTGTCTGTTGTCCGTCGCGCCTCCCGTCCCGTCGATTTCGTACACGTGTACACGCGCGTTTTCGCTCACTCGAAAGTCCGCTATGCGCTGAAAGCGATGAAAAAAAAAAAAACGTTTCCGAGTGCTACAAGCGGTCAACTGATAACCGTTGATATTGGTCCGAGGGTGCGCGGGGCTTGAGTCAATCGTGCAGAAAAACAATTTTGAAAATTGCGAAATACAAACGAGCAAAATCTATGGGAAATTACCGTTAAAAAAAAAAAAAACGATCTATGTATACTTCTTCATCGGCACCGAAAATTTAGTATTGGTCGTATTTCGTTTTCTTATCGCGGTCGATGCGGTAAAGGTAACCCCGAAATCGAATAGAAAAATCGGTTTTTCAAGTAAAGTCGGCCCGGAAATCCCGCGATACGGACGGTTTTCGAGCATTTTCACTGGCTGAAAATTTATTTTTATTTGAAAAACAAAAAAAACTGCACCTTCGTCTAAATAATGATAACTTCTCATATATGTATACATAACTTCTTCTTCTTGCGCAATAGAAAAAAATCCAAAATATATTCAACTTTAATATAAACGACCGAAGTACGGTATGGACCTTTAGGTTCCGGGTGTAACGGAAAAGTTATTAGTTTTACAAAAAGAAAAAAAAAATTTTTATCACGCCGCAAGTACTCCCCCGAAAATATGCGGATTTAATTTTCGGACGGTCTGTAGGAATAATATTTAGAAGTTCCTAACGCTTTTTTAGGCGAGCGCGCGATAGTGCCCCGTGATTTATAACGAAAACCGATTTGCGCTGGATAAACACGTTCATTTTGTGTTTACAATGGTAGACTCGGGCGTCGAAAGGACTAGGCGCATTTAAGAAGATCCGTATTTAAGCGTTTTTCTTTTTTTTTTTTTTTAACCGAAACAACCGAGAGTTTGTAAATCTATAACGTTAATTATTGTAATTATGCTAACAGGGAAATAAGCGCGCTACGGCACAGATAAAGGCGCTTCTTAATGCGCTACGCAATTTCGGTACATTTCGCTGTACGTTTTTGCGTAGAGAGAATTAAATACACGTTTTATTATTTTACTTTTTAAAATTTTCAAAACGGCCGTTTTGTAAAATATATCACTCTACAAATTCGAATGTATCACATACAGGAGCGTCATTTCAGCGATTCAATAGACACGCAAACATTTGAACCAGGCCAATTTGTCTGCAAATGTCCCGTTCGCTTGTATTCGTATTCCCACTTACTTCACTAGTATACAATAAAAAAAAACCTACGTTTAATAACGGGCCGAGGGTTTTGCGGTCCGCCTTTACATTACGTTACGTGTTTACAGCTCGCATATTTGCATGTTATTATATTATAAAATAAAATGTAAATAACGCGACTACAATCTATTTACTTCATAATTCATTAAATGCACAATTTTATTTTGTAAAAAGTAACGAAATTTCCGCTGTTTTCGTTTGATAAATTAACTCGCTGCGCACACCAAAATAAAGCAGTACGCACCAGTATCGTTATAAAAAAGACACTTTCGACTTGTTGTTTCAACGGCTATTTGCAGATACATTTATTTAAATACCGAATCAAATTTTTCGCCTACAAAACTATCTTGAATTTCCCCCTCGGTAATTATTTCTTACAATCGATTTAGGAAAATTATTATTATTACTGAATTTTAATTTCAGACTTTCTATATGAAAGAAAATCTTGTGTACATAACCTAATCCGACCTAACTTATTGGTACATCAGTACCATTCCGTGTTTTGAAAATAACAGTTATAATTTGTCTAAACTTTTAACGAAACAAATTTCTTCAGTGACATGCAAAGAAATTTCGACATCATAGAAATCAACAAATATTTATGAATATAATATAATTTTTTTTTTTTTTTTTGTCGAATTCACTAATAGTACAGTAATATTAAGGTGTGTACACATGTCAAAATAATCTGTAACGGTTGAAAACGATAAGCACAGAAATTAAATTCATCCAGACGTATGAAATCTATCGCAGCTAATCGAGTTTAGATATCCGGTATCTCGTCGGCTCGATCCAAACCCCGCGTCTTTTCTCGCATTGTCACGTCTCAACGTTTGTCGTCGTGTCGGTTTTTTTTATGCAGGATGCGTAGTTTTTGTCCTTTTTGCAAATTACAATATTCTCCGTTCCGGAGCATATCACCGACTCCCAAATTACTCAGGTGCCTTAAACACAAGATCTGATAGTACGCTCTCTCACACTGAATTTGGATTTTTATTTTTTTACTCTTATCTCAGCGTTGCTACAGTTTCGTGAAAATCGATTTCAGAGCCCATACACGGAAAATGTTCTGTAATTATATTATTCTCGTAATGCGATTATGATAAAATACGATGAAAGTCAATTGGCGCAGCGGACGACATCAAAGCCCCGTCAGTATATTATTTAAAAGCACCCGGGGAGCCGCGAATCGATTTTGTTCAACGTTATAATAAGATTATAAATTGGCGAATCGCATAACTAATAATAATCGTATACACTTAGTATCGTATTAGAATTAATAGAATCAGATCCGGCGAGTATTTTCACAAATAGGTCATGTTTTAATTTATAAATATACACGATTTTTTAATTTTTTTTTTTTTTTATAAGAAAACACCTACTTATACACGGTCGGCAATCACTCCTTCAAGTGCGGTACTTTTTACATTAAAAAAAAAAAAAAACCAGTTTTTGATTTATCGTGTTTATGAATACTTTAAGGTACCCACCGAGAATTCATTGACATTTGATGTTTCTGACGAGAGAAAAAGAAACTATAACTTCATTATTTAACGCATTTACAGTTTGCGACTTTGCGGTTTAAACGTTTCATTATACACTAAAATATAGAAATTACGTAACTGCAATTTATTTCGCGTTTCATTAAACGCACAATTTTATTTCGGTAATAAGGAGAGCATAAACAGTGCGCGCCGGTATCGTTAAAAAAAAAAAAAAACAAAGATACTTTATTCAACCTCTTATTTCGCCGGCTACTTGTACACACGATATATTTTATTTAAGTCACAAATGTCGTCAAAATATTATTTACTAAAATAGTATATTGCTGTTCGATCCGATTGATGATATTTCGCCCGGATCAATAGCCAGACGTCAGTATCATAATATCGATACTTCATTTTCAACTCGAAACATGACGATTACGACGAAAATAATCTAATAACGGACTTTTGTGTAGATGAGTAATGTTAATTTCTTCCGTGCTCATCGCGTCTATTGTAAACCGATATTCGAAATTCAAAATTTTAAATTTTTTTTCGCCCATCAAATTGTCGTAACCCATCAGGGTCGGGGATCGATCAGATTCGGCCTACCGAGTTTTCCGTACTTAACCGGCCCCCCGCTTACATACTGGCGGCACTTCACCAACGTTTTTTTTTTTTTTAGTCGCGTATTGCTATAGGTGCACTACATTTTTTCTGAACGATGTTCCGTACAAACACAAGAAAAGGTACCTTGTTATATTACATGAATTAACTACATTTTTAAAGGTTGTTAAAATTTAATAATTTCAGCCGGTTTAGGTTTATAATGTTGCTATACAAAGTTGTTAAATAAAACCGTACACACCTGTTGTATGCAGGATAATTATTTTATCACAAAATACCGAGTGTGTGGAAAAACCTTTTTACGTCGTTTTCTTCAGGGAAATGTTTTCAAATATTAAATTTTTGAATCTAAGTGAGTATTAACTTTTGTTTTAAATAGTTACCTTTATTTTTATTAGGTGCCAGAAATGTATTAGGTCAGTTTATTTTATCCATAAACGTTTGTTTAAATTGCATTCAACGTGATTCATTTTAGATTCTGAGCGGAGCGAAGAAGCTTATGGTTTTACAAATATTTTAATTTTTTTTTTTTATGTGGATAACTTTTCCACCGGAAATCTTGCTTCGGTTTTAAAGTGTAATATCTCCTCTTAAAGAAAAGCGGTGCGGAGAGGTACGTTAAAGAGGTAACTTTTTGATCGTTCCAGGAGTTTTCTCAAAAAATGGGACAAACCGGGAAAAACACAGTAAAAACGTAGAAAAAATCTGCAAATTTTCGCGGCCTACCGGGTTTTAATCCGGTCCGGTTATGGCCGATCCGGCTCTGAAACCCGTATTACGATTTCCGCGTTACAATTATTGCGGGTATAAAACAACCGCCTAGACGCGTTTGTAAACACGATAATTATTTCGATGGCAGTGATATTAAGGCGAGTACAATACAAACCCGCGGCAAATACGAAGTATGCGTCAAAAAAGTGCCGATCCAATTAAAACCGATTGGTACCTCGTATGTATACACTTCATGCAGATATTTCATGTCGTCACACTTGTCCGTGGTCATACGCGTCTTTTGGTGTTAAACGATAATATTTGCACGGTCAGCGTACTAAATTATTAGCCAGTGCGAATGCGATAGAGCAGAGGGCAAAAGCCACAAAAGTACGGGTACCAATTGAATACGATCTGCACTTAATCAGTACGGTGTACATTAGATATAATATGCATAATAATAATTATAGCAATGATAATTTATTTGCGAATCGAGAAAACAAGTATAGTTGTTCGATGTTATAATGTGAATCACGATAATTGGCAATTCCCCTACATGCGTAATACTTGTTAGTTGTGTGCAGGTTGCTTCGTATATTTTTTTCATACGAATTATTTTTTAAATTCCGAGCGTAACGAGGGAGCTATGGTTTTACTAAGGTGTTTGTTTATTTTTATTATTATTTTTTTCTCTGTTCTAGTCTGTGGACACGTTTTTTCCTAGCTAACTTGTTCCGATTTTTACTCGTAGCAACTTTTTTTTTTTTTTTTTTACTTTGATGCAAAAAATGGTGTACCATTTTCCGTACGTATTTTTCAAAAAATCTGATGTAATTATTTTTGATATCGTACGTACGCACGGCGATCAACTAAAAACCGAAAAATCATAAAAAAAATAACTGACCACGAGGTATAGGTTTTACCACGAGGCTAGGAATAATAAAAAAAAAAAACAATGAATACGGACGAATGCGTCGATAACTCGAACTTATTGGATACACGAAAGTTCATATTCTCACCCTAGTGAAATTAATGTCCGATAAATTCTGAAAGTTGTCTAAACATGTTTAGCACAAAACAAGTTTCCACTAAGCGCAACTGGAAATACACGGTTAACGGTCCCTATTGAAACGGACCAACGAATAGACGAGAGCGTTGTAATTGGGCTAATCAGCGGACGCCCGGATAGTTGGGCGAACCGGAAGCGTGCAGTTGTGATTATGTGTGAGATATGCGGAAAACAACGAGGATAAAAAAAAAAAAAATAACAATAATAAATCAACAACGTTCGTGTAGAGAAATATTTTAATCTTATCGCCGGGGTTCGATGAAAAAAAAAAAACAAAAACAAACACAAAAAAATAAAAACTGTACATATAAATTAATGGGTAATTAATACATTATTATCGGATGTTTTCGAATCGATTTTAAATAAATTTTGTACATAATGGAAAAAAAAAAAGAAAGAAAGAAAATATAAATTGTTGTAAATATTTTATACTCAAATAAATTAGACGCGATTATCATTCTTCGGGATCCTGAAAGTCGAGATGGCAGTTTTGGTCGGGACCCAGATGCATACCGTCGGAACATTTCTTCTGCGGCACCGTTGTGATTGATCGGAACAGCGTGTTGTTCAATAATGCCGTTTCGGCGACGGGCTTCGTCGATTTGGCCGTTTCGGACGACGGCGGTTTCTTATTGCCGGGATAATTCGAAACCGCGGCGGTGGTCGTCGCATTTGTCGTCGTTCGCAGCGCTATGCCCGTGTAGTTGCTCCGGTACGGGAATTCGTTATTATAGTTGCTGGAGTTGGTGCGCGGGAGACGAACGGCACCGGTGTTGACGTCGTACTGATCGCGACGGGGTTGCTGCGGCGGAACCGGGTGCCGGGTACCGACGATGTCGCCGTACTGATCGCGACGGGGTTGCTGCGGCGGAACCGGGTGCCGGGTACCGGCAGTGTCGCCGTACTGATCGCGACGGGGTTGCTGCGGTGGAACCGGGTGCCGGGTACCGGCAGTGTCGCCGTACTGATCGCGACGGGGTTGCTGCGGTGGAACCGGGTGCCGGGTACCGGCGGTGTCGCCGTACTGATCGCGACGGAGTTGTTGCGGAGGAACCGGGTGCCGGGTACCGGCGGTGTCACCGTACTGATCGCGACGGGGTTGTTGCGGCGGAACCGGATGCCGGGTACCGGCGGTGTCGCCGTACTGATCGCGACGGGGTTGTTGCGGAGAAACCGGGTGCCGGGTACCGGCAGTGTCGCCGTACTGATCGCGACGGGGTTGCTGCGGTGGAACCGGGTGCCGGGTACCGGCGGTATCGCCGTACTGATCGCGACGGGGTTGCTGCAGCGGAACCGGGTGCCGGGTACCGGCGGTGTCGCCGTACTGATCGCGACGGGGTTGTTGCGGAGGTACCGGGTGCCAGGTACCGGGGCCGCTACCGCGGTTTGGCCCCAGCCTCGACCTCGCGGACGCGGACACGTGATCCGAGACGATTCCGCCGCTGACCGGAGTCGCGGACAGCGCCGCGGCCGCGACGACTGCGATCGCCGTCGCCGCGGCGATCATCGCGGCCGCCGCGCTGCCGGTCGAACGCCGACGGCCGGCGGAACGACGCGATGGATCCATGGGCGTCGTCCCGCGATCACTCGCACGCGGTTCACGCGGTCCGGATCTCGGCAAGGCGGGTTTGCCGAACGGTGCTGATCGTACGGCGTACGGTGGAACGTTTCACTGGCGGCCCGCGCGGACGTCCGTTCGGATTCTGTAGGTCGGCAAGCGAGACGGCGAGACCGGTTCGAACGAGACTGCGGCGGCGAGACCGACCCGGGGACCTTTTATCTCCACTCGTAAATCGTATTTTAATAATAACACACCGCCGGGTACTCCTTCCCCGGTCCCGCGACGTACGCGATCGTTCTAATGGCCGATGATTAGAAAAAAACAAAAAACAATAACAAAACCCAGCGATAATATTTATCGTACGCTCGCATCTTATTGTATTTTAATTTCTAATAATACGCCGTGGCGAAATCCCCTTGTCCCGTACATGGGCAGTAATATGCGCGCGTTCCGCGTTACGTTTTCGGAACGCACACACTCACGCGCACGCGCACACACACACACACACACACACACACACACACACACACACACAGAGTTTAAAATTGCAAAAATTGTTCATTATAAGTCGTACCAAGGGACCAAAAAAAAAAAAAAAATTTAGTTTAATGAAGTATTTTTTTTTTTTGTTTTTATACGAGTTTTAAAATCAAATTTTGACGAAAATCGTAAATATTACGATCTTTCAAAACATGTACAACCGAACTTCGCTCCGAATCGTTTTTCGTTATCAATGGTTTATCGTCGGTTGCAGGCATAAATTAAATAACTTAATAATAAATCACACCTTCTCCACTGTCCACCTGCACCAGTCGCCGCACCCGACGCCGTATCAGTTCTTTTTTTTATTTGAAGCTGCGTGAAAATTGCTCTTTTGCTGGTACTTCATTCAGACCAGGTGTTTGTTTTGCCACGATATGTCCGTTGCATATTCAATACACAAACTGAATTACCGTTTGTATCCTATCTTCCGAATTACCTACCTACAACAGTGGCCTCAACTCATTGTGGTGTGCCAAAAGTATGTCCGGCTTTGCAATACTGTCTTCACTGTAGTGTATTAGGTTTACGTTGATAAAAAAATAATCCGCAAACGTCTACGTGTCGACCCTCTGAAAAAAACCTACGGAGGACCTCGGGGTTAACAGAGTTTTTCGGGGAGTCGAGAGGGGAACACGTCATTGCGGATTGTGGTCGCCACCGCACATATCAATGGCTCATTGCCAATTATGAAAATGTCGCCCTTTTTTTTTCTCCATACGCCATACAGTTTTTCGTAAACTCATTTAACGAGTGCGTTCGGTTCTGAACGTTTTTTCCTTGTTTTATTATAGAACAATACCGCACACCCCGGGGGTTTGACAAAAAACGCAAAAATAATATTGTATAACGGGTACAACACTCTTTAGATTTTAAAATAAGGACGTTGATGGTTTTACCGGTTTTTTTCTTTTGTTTGGGGTTTTTTTTTTGTTTTACGTTTTGATTCTCATATTTACAGCTGAATAGTTGGGTACGAGTACATATCACTATAGTAATCGCCTATTTTTCCCAGAATATCGTTTACGAGTACGTGATATATAAGTCTAGGTGTATAACTGCAGCGCACGTCTAAGAATGATGATGATCTCCTTATGAAGAAAAAAAAAAAAGGCATCGTCTTATTATTATGCAATTGTGTAACCGATTTCGGAATTTTTTTTTGTTTGAAATTTTTTATTGCAATAAAAAATGTGTTTTTAAACGCGAGTGACTGGAGAGCCGTCACGTTAGCTCGTTAGATATTTAAATATCGACAATTTAACGACGCCGAAAATTATGTATGCCATTTGTCATTGGCTTGTAACGTGCAGAACGTGTAGTGTTTTTTTTTTCTCATCAATATTCGTAGACCGTAATCAAAACAGTACATCGAAATCAATAAATCAATGTCCGTGCGTTGTTTTGTAAAACTCTAAGAACGCTTACACTCGAATAAATTAATTCTAATACATATTTATTAATTTGTGTACCTAATTATGCCGAAATACTTCACAAAAATGAATTTTAAATTTTTGAAAATTACGGTAATTTAAGACGTACGGAGCTTATGCCGGCCGTATGAAAAAAAAAAAAAAAAGGAAGAGGAAACCTTCCTACAGGGTTCGTTGGATTTCGATTTTTTATTACGTAACCAAAATACATTTTATTTCCGACAGAATGTCAAAATTGGTCGTTACCGCCATATTCACGCTCTTATTATGCCGTTTTTAAGTACGGCAATTTCAGAAGCGCAAGTCCAACGCGCTCCCGCGAGAAGTTCTTTCGTTTTCCGACGGAAACCCGGCGATCGAAATCAGTTCGCCTCTAATAACGAGAGTATCGCGTGCGGTAAAACGCGCAGTTTTCGGCCGGGGGGGGGAAATAACGGGTCGGCGCGTCGGTTGAGCCACCCAACAAATAAATGGACGAAGACGCGCGTTGAGCCGAGCCGTGCCGAGAGCGGCCGGTTTTCATTTACGGGACCAGGCGATCGGTGTTATTTACATTTTTTTTTTTAAATTATTCACGTACCCCACGTACCCCACGGAACGCCATTACGCCCGCGCGACGGTAACGTAAAACGGTCAACGCTTTACCACCCCGATTTCCGCGTTGTCGCCAACGTCGATGTATCGTTTTGCGCATCGCGGCGGTAAAACGGTTTTAACGGACCCTCGCGTGCAGCTGTACACGCGCGCAACGACACAATTATTTACTCAAACGGACTCGGGGGGAAAAAACGCGGTCCAGTGCAACGGCTGCTCGTCCGCTTGCCCCTTAAAACGGCGTACGCTCGGTACGCGCAACACGCCCGCGCGTCCAGGCGAATTCCGTTGTTCGAAATGTACGCTCGCCGAGCGTTGCCGGTTTTTTTTTTTTATTTTTTTTTTTACTCGTTTTCGAACCGACAGCACGGCGCAGGAACCGAGCCAACGGCGGTCCGTTCCGGCGGAAGACTCGGGCGCCACAATCGGACGAGCGGACGTACGTCGTGCGCCGAAAATCCCATGTACCCGTGCGCCACGGCCGATAGCCGTACGCTATCGCGCGTATGCGTTTATCGACCGTGTCTACCGCGACATTCTGTCGGTTATTGGCGATTTTAAATACGTATCCGAATACCTACTCGTATAAAACGCGTAGGACAACGGTCCCCGGCGCTCACGCCGTGCATCGGGTACGGCGCGTTTATAGAATGTTTGATCGGCGCCCGCGGCCCCACGCGTTTTCGCGCGCAGACGGCCCGTCGCGTTTGCACATCGGGCGGTCACGCTCGTCGCGCGGCCGTCCGTTCCACTGGTGCCAATCGTTTGTTGACGCAGAGTGTACGGCGCAAAATACAACGTGCCAGGGTGCACGGGCAAGAGACTCGCCACGTCCCTTGGACCAGCTGCGCGCGACACCTATCCCTCGAGGCCCGGCCCGACAGCCCGGTGCGCGTCGCGACCCGACGCGACTCCTCCGCCGGCGGACCGTCACCCGGCCGGCCGGCCGGCCCGGAACAATCTCTGGCTCTAACTGTCTACGCGGACCGCGAGTCTCGCCGGACCGTAGTCCCGCGTCCGCATCGCGATCGGCCCACGCACTTCTCTTGTCCCGTCCGTTCTTCCTCGCGGCGGCGCAGCAGACTCTCAACAAGGCCGTAAATGAATTAGCCGCCAGCAGTCGAGCAGCAGCATTGCGTTGGGCGCGCCGCGCCGAATCGTTCAGGACGTTCAGCCGCTTGGCACGGCGTACTGACCTCCGATGCTGTTTTGCGCTTTGTTTTAAAGGTTACGGAATGTACTCGCGAGTGTATCCCGTGACTAGTACATGTATAATATTGCGATAACGGCGTTTGTGTTCCGGAAATCCGTCGTTATTTGTGTTTGAATTGTTTTTTTTTTTTTTCGTCGAGGTCATGACGTCAAATATTTATAACCGGCGGCGACCGCGAGTTCAAATTAACCTGGCCGAATTAAAATTCCACGCGGCCACGTGCATTTAGGTTTAAACTAGTGGAATTCGTGTTTGAATTAAAATTTGAATTTTGATTACACGATTTCCAGCCCGAAATAAAGTGCCATTAAAAGTACTCGGTTAACAATTTCAAGTTTCTACAGTTTTTTTTTTTTTTTTTACTGGATTACACACACGAAAATCAAATAAAACAAAACCGGGTTTTCTTAAAACGGGAAACCGTAAAACTATAATCTTCCTAATACACCAACTGTATATGTATTTATACATACGACGATAATTATTTTACGGAAAAGTGAGGGGGGATTTTTTATTTTACAGTTTCCGCGCATTTGTATACGTGGTCTGTTTTTTTTTTCACCAGAAACGCCGAATAAAAAATAAACGTACCCGGGAGAGTTCTGGGGGATTTAACTGGCGAACCGTTTTTGGCCGTCGGCGGTGGCGGCAGCAATGGATCACGACGAGCATTTTCGAGGAGTTAAGGTCGGCGGCGTCGGCGGCGGCGGTGGAGCCGCAAAGGAAAAATTAATGCGAACGGACGTGACCTCGGGACGTTTCTCTCCTTTGCATATTATTACCCGGCCCATAATTCATTGGTAACGGTTTTTTTTTATTTATTTTTTATTTTTCGTTGCAGTGCAGTGGATTTTCTTCTTTTTTTCTCCCTCGCGTTATAATATTCTTCATATCGACACTGAAACAATATTGAACGATATCGGCTATTTTAATAATAAATTGTCAGTCTGAAATATATTATAAATTTGTTTTTTTTTTTTTTTTTTTTAAAAACCGCGTACCGGATAGGAAACATCGGATATTATTTTAAGTTCGAGGTTAACATCTGACCGAAACCTCCATTTTGAAGATGACCGAATAATAGTAATAATAAAACACCGTGCGCAGGTCTGTGCGAAAGTCATTCGATAGTCTTGAAATAATCGATTCAGCATAAGCACAACTAGAGCCACTCCCCCCGGTTTAGCCCCCCAAATTTACTAATAGCCCCCTCAAAATAAATAATACTTCATATGTTCTCGAATTGAACAAAAAACAAGTATTTTCAATATTCGTATTACTTAAATAATTATACGTGCATAATAATTTAAAAAAAATGTTTCACTTCGGTTAAAGTCAGGATTAATTGGTCACTGAATTATCACTGGAACAAAGTTTATATTTTTGGTATACACATTGTGATATCGTGCGTAAACACTGGTTTCTGCGGAGTTATCAGTGGCCAAAAAGGTTTTTGTATATCCTCTGTTCATATAACCTGTAGACAAACCTTAAGATGTGTGGGGTGCGAAGCCTTAAACATGTTACCAATGGTATAATAGTAATGCGGGGCTGTAACCCGCCCTAAGATTTTGCGATGGTTGCACTAGTATTTTAAACGTAATGTTCGTAATATGAATACGAGTATTTAATAATCATTAAATTCTACACGTTTGATTTTGAATAACATTCAAAGCTAAATTAAAAAAAAAAAGAAAAAAAAAAAAAACAACAACATTTAAACCTCTAAAACCGAACAACTTTGAACGGAAAAATTGTACCTGTAGGCAAGCGATTGAACGCGCGGGTTGAACAATGTTTAAATTTCTTACGCCGTTTAACGCTCAATTGTACGTGACATACGGAGTTTCTCAAAACGGTAAACAATATTTTTATATTTTTATTTAATCCGTGCCATAAACAGCGTACGCATGTTGAATTTCTAAAAAAAAACCGTAGCTAATAAAACAACGTTGCACTATAACCTTCAATAAACTTTCGATGACTAATGAACAATTGTATTTCCAAGACGGGCGTTGGTGCTACAATCGTGTTATTAGACATCTGATCGGCGCCTTCGTACCGTTTGAATGACACACGTGTCGACGATTTCATTTCTATTTGTCGTCGTTGACGTTGTATTATGATGTTGTTTTTTAACGAGCCGGAAGTACATCACGGCGATGTCACGAGGTCTCATGGCTGTTAATACCGTATACTAACCGCCAAAACGTTAATAAAACGATCGCATTTCAATATGGCCAAAGGTTAGCGCCGGAAACTAAAGTACCTATATACTTTTTCGTACCGCATCACATTTTATGCCAAATCATATTATACCGTAGGTGATATCACAACCCCCTCCCCCCTCCTCCTGCAATGGAATCATTACATTTTTTGATGTCAGATTTTCGATTAGCGCATTAACGAACAAATTGATCGCTCGCAAATTAATCTCAATTTACATTTCCCTAGGACAAAGAGCCCAATTTTTTTTTTTTTTTTTTTTAAAGTTTAGATTCTAAATTAACACAGCACCCTGCCTAAAAAACGTTATTTTAGATTTTCTCAAAGGGACTAAATTAGTTTGTTTTTTTTTTGCTTTTATAAATTAACTCAAAACAATTAAAAAAAATATATGGCTAATACAATCCACTGATCTTATAATAGATTTTAATTACACGTATGATCAGTTTTGATTCTTTATTTAACAGTGTATTACCTACGAATTAAACGTCGACAGCAAAAATACCTATTATGTGCCTTCTTTAACTTTGAAATAACGTGTGATAACAGCTGTGATAAATGGGTCGAATTGTTGTTTAAAATTTTAATAAAAATAAATTTTAGAATTTTTTTTTTCTCCAATAATAATTATTGAAAACGGAAAAAAATGTAAAACTAAAAACAAACACGAATATAAATATCATAGTATAGTCGCTACGCACTTTTTAATTTCCTACCGCACACCCGACATTTCGTTTTAACACAAAGCGTGTCGTTCCGCACACAATTTCAGTCCAGCAACCCGAAAACTACATCGGGCAAATTTAAAGGTTGCGAAAAATATCATCCGCGGTTTTCAATATAGTCTGTGTTATACAGCCGGGCGCAACGTATTGATTATTTTTGCCGTTCCAGAAAAAAAATATTTCCCGAAACGACGAATGTAAAGCCAACGAAACGTTCGTCACGATTTATTATACCTGTTATCTGCACTTTTTTTATCCGCGTGTAGAGGCGTTCGACACGTTGTACACGTTTGTCATACGGAAATCTCGGAGAGAGAAAAAAAAAAAAAAAAAAACAACGTCGTTAAAAAGGAGCAGATTTCCAAACCGGCAAAACAGTGGCGCGCTCGATGCGGGCGATGCACAACCCCCCGCGAACGAATCTTGAACCAACACATTTGTCGCCGTTCCGCAGTGACTCCGTTACACACAGAAATGCAAGAGGAAAAATATTAAAATATCAGCGCGGGTCGCCGACATTTCGTCCGCCGTTCGGAGTGAGCGGGCGTCCGTTATTTAGCGTTCCGTATTTATGTTTACGCGGTCAAGCAGTGGAAACATCCCCGGTCCCGAACGAACGTCCGGCCGTTTAAACGCGACCGGCAAGAGAACCGATTGTTCGGTATTCGGTTGTACTGTTGTTTTGCGATTATGGCGCGGGCGGTTTCGTCTCGATGTGTTCGACGAGTGTTCGCGTCGACCCGACCCGTTCTACCGCGCGGAGAAAACGCCCCGTGGTCACGGCACCGTCTGTACACCCAC